GCATACTGCCCTAGAGAAGGAGTGACAAAAAATCCTACTAATTTTATCAGATGACTGACTTTTGTAATTGTTTTATTATAAAGAACCTCAGTACAAAGCCACATCCTGCCTTGATTGTATTTTAAGAGCAGAACTGATGTGCATGCAAGAGGAAATTTCAGATTAGTGATAACAGGTGAACCCTGACTGCAGCAAAGAATGAGCTTGTTTCTATGAATGCAGTGGTATAAATAACTGATTCTTCCAGTGATGGCAGCAGCCGTATAACAGCCTCCCAGGCAGAACATGATGTAACCCCAGGCCTTGTGACATGTCAAGCCCCCAGGAAAATCCTAGGCAAAATACACACTAACCTCCTCTGTTATGTTTGCAAGTTTATTTTTCATTCATGTCTTGCTCAGCTACAATTTTGTGTGTCATAAATCCTTAGTTTGGATATCTGTTATATCTAGCAGCTCCATAAAAGCTGAATAAAAGCTTTTAGTAATAATGCTGTAATGAAGAGTCCCCCTTTAACCTGCCAGTTCTCATCATATCAATAATACCCAAATTATACCAGGGACAAGAAGGTTGAAAGAATTAATTTTGTTTCTGTATCCCCAGATCCTGTTCCTATATTGTGCATACTAATTAAAGATGTAGCTACAGCACTTGAATACCTCAGAAGTCTCAGAAGTTGAGATACCTCAGAAGTGCCTCACATCAGCAATATCATACACCAGCAAAATGGCTTACGGGCAGCAAGCAAAATAAGAGCAGCTATATTAGAACTCATTTCCTAAACACACAGCCTCTGCATCAGTCCAGGTTTCATGCTGAATTTCAAATTTGAATTATTGCAAAGGTCAGGAAAGACAAAGAAATAATGCTTATCATTCATTAGATAGGTTCATTTTGTGCCATTTTGGCATTACTTCTGCTGAAGACTTCCATAGATAATCAAGTGTATCTTCATTCCCTACACAGCCTACACAAATATGAATAAAGCCAAAGTACTGAAGTAACTTTTCCAATGCTCTACAGAAGCAGAGGGCCAGGACACTCCATATGTCAAATCAGTCATAATGCTTTCATTTTACGACTGAGCATTTGGGGTATCCTTTACCATAATCATTTTATGTTTCCCAGCATTGTTGGCAGAACAATGTAAAATATGCGCGCTAGAAGTACTTGAGTAATGCTGCCTCCTAGTTTTACTGACTTAAAATCGAGTGTCAGAAAGCTCATATTTCAAAATACAACTCCAGCCCTCTCACTCCTGCATATCACTTGGGAGAAGGCAGTGCATCAAGCTATTGTTTTCTGTTCTTGCTTTTGTGCTCTGTTGAATCATCCTTATAAGCAGATACTTACAATGTTCTTCTAGGAAGGAGACCCACCTACCAGTGTCACGCTGACTTCATCATCCTCCTGCATTGTACATCTTTCAGCTGTGCAACACAAACCCAGGGGATGATGTAGGGAAGAAGAGTATTAAACAAACTGAACTTCTCCATTCCACTTCGAAGGAAATCTCTGCAAGCTGTTGTTTATAATCAGTCTAGTTCTAAGCTGGACATGTGGAGATTTTGTTTTGTTTTGTTGCTGACTCTGCAAACTGATACTTGGAGAGAACTGTCTGGGGAAAGCAGAATCCTTTATTATGGCCAACACCGCCAAGTGATTTGGCAGATTCTTCCATGAGATGCACAGTCCAATAGGTTATGTGTGAGAGCTCAGCTGGCCAGTTACTAACAGAAAAGCTCAACTTTAAAAGTTTTAAAATCTTATTATAGCCAATTTGTGGTTTTGGCTGAAGAATGGAGGAAGATGAAAAGTAGAGGTAGTTGGGTGTCAGTAAAAGATGGAACATTGAAGTAATTTTCACTGCTGTGCCACAAAGAAAAAATTGCTGGGTTTATACATAGGTTAAATCTCATTGAGGCAAGCTCACGCACCGACTTTCAGGTACGTGCTTAGATAAAGCTGCAAAGATGCTATCATTTGTTGTAGCCTTTTGTCTGGAAGATTGAGGTAATGCATCTCTATCTAATGAGACTAAGGACAAGACCCTTCCATTTTTCTGACTGCTGTGGAGAGAGGGCCTCGGAAGGGCTTTTGCAAGATCTATTGTGCCTTTCACCAGAAACTGTCACGTCTGTTTTGTTTGAACCCGAAGGGTGAAGCGAGTTGGAGAGTTACTTTCACTGCTTTCAGTGATTCCAAATGGCATTTCTTGATAATGAGCTTGTTTGTTTGAGAAAACAACTTCCCTGTCAGGCATAGTCTGGGAAACTGAGGATATGAGAAAGAAAATAAAATCTGTTAGGGTGAAGTATAAACATCCATAAAACTGAGTAGCAAAACACCTACAGAGAAAGTTGTAGTTTGCCAGCAAACTAATTAAAGTCTCTGAATAAGAAGGAAGGTGTGACAGCTGAAAAGTTAAAGTAAAAATAAATCAGAAGTTTAGTTAAGCAATTATAACAGGAAATTACCTCTGGAGTTCCCTCTCCTGCCTTCTTTTCCTGGTTCTGCTTCCCACTGACTGAGCAAATCAGAGAAATGACTTCTAATCTGGCAAGCCTCCAGTGCTGGAGCCTAGCTATACACATAGAGGACATCACAGACAAGCACCTCCAGTGCCCTGCAATGAGTTTGGGAGGGCACAGCAACTCTGTTCTGTCTCTGCAGCCAGCTGCTTCAGCTGCAGAAACCTGTGCTCCCCATCCTGCTCCAGGCAGCCATCTCAGAGATGCCCTGCCTGCAGGGAGTGGCTAGCTAACATATTGCCTGGGGAATCTGATGTTTTAACACTGTTTATGGTTGGCACAGCATACAAAAGTGGGAGTTTTATGTTCTAATACTGTTTATAAACATGTGTAGGACTTCTCAGACATGCTCTGTCTCCAAAGTCTACGCTATTGCTTTTGGAAATAACATGCTCAGTGACCTGTACTTTTTCTGAAAGGACTGCTGCTTAGTAGGGGTAATGAAGCTGCCTTTCCAGCTATGACCAGAGGAAGAGTTTAAGTACTGTGTCGCTGAAACTGAGAATTGGAAATAACTCTCTTCCACTCTTCAGTAGCATAGCCTCAGTCAAAACTACAAACAAAGCAATCCATGACACCTCAGGAGGAGGGGAAACATCTCACAATCATGGGAGCTCTTTGTACACAGGGCTCCTATTCAGTTCCATGAGAATTTGTAAATGAAGAGAGCATGTGGCTCCTTCTTACACTGACTTGAGCTGTGCAGCAAATTCCTCAGAGGCAGTGCCAAATTAAGTGTCCTGAATAAGGACGGCTCCATAAATTGACATTTTCCTGCCCTACATTCAATTGCAATCTCCATCTTTATCAAGGAACACCATGGATTGGAGGATTAAACCCTGGGTGTCTGCCAGCACTCATTTAGGCATGAAAGTACAAATGTTTCCCATTATACTGAGCACTTTTTTGTGCAGTGTAAATGTATGTCTTAGCATCAGCTTCATCTTCACCATGAGCCAGAACACTTACAGTGGCACATCAGGTCATGAAAAACTATTAGAAGCGTTTGCTGTTTGTGCTACCACATCCGATTTTTTGAAGAGTAATTATGCTGAGGAAAAAGCACCAAAAAAAAAAAAAAACAGAAAATGTTGTTCACTGACACTGAAAAATAAAAATAGGGCCAGCATGCCAGAGAAGGTTTTGGGTGCCCCCTGCTTGTCTCCCATCGGCCGGGGTGCAGGATTCAGTGCTTGATGCTCTGTTCCCACGCGCAACACCGGAGGTAGTGCAGTGAACACCAGCAGCCATGGGAGCTGGAGTCCCAGCGTGCCTGCCAAGCTCAGGTCTTCTGCCAACCACCTGCTTTTCCAACCAGTGTTTTCACATAGAAAGCAATTTGGACCTACACACTGAGAAATCGTACAAGCTCCCAAAACAAAACAACCCCTTTCTCAGCACGATGGGCCATTTAACTTTTGTAAACTTAATCTGGGAACTTAAAAAAAAAAAGCCTCAGCAGCATGACATATGAACAAATAACAAAGCATCCTTTGATAGGTGATCGTACCATCCTGCCATAGCACAGGGGAAGTCTCTCCCTCTAGACAACAATAAACAAAATAGAGTGAATATGCGGGCAGCATTTCAACATCTGCTAGAGTCTCTGGGAAAGGAGCTTCATGCATACAGCTCTTCCCAGGACAGCTGCATGCAATACTCATTGTCACCTTGCAGTATTAGCGTTATTATGTATATCGCCATATTTCTGCTGCTAAAGAAAAGCTATTTACATAAGGTCATTGCCAACTCTAATAGCTTCCCTGGGTAAGCAGGCTTTCTTTAGGCAATATTTAATATTTCTACATCACGGCAGTTCATTACATTTGGGAATCCTTTACTGTTTCCTTCAAAACAGAAGATCAGTGAAACATTGTTTACAGTGAGCAGAAATCCTAATGAAGTTCATGAAATTAATGATTTCCTTTGATCAAAATCTTATCTTTCCTTCATACTTAACCTCAGTTTGACTGTCACATATAGCAATGTGTACCCCCATACTAGTGTATCACCTGCATTTCAATATTTAAGGCTATGTAATTCTTACTTGCAAAGCTTCCTTACTGAAAGCATCCCTTGGAGAAGATAAGGACCTAGCCACAAAAGCCTACTGAGCTACTTCTCCAGATGCTATGTATAATCATAACAATACTTATTCAATATATTATTTGGTTATAATGAAATTCGTAATAAAAATATTAATTGCAAACGTGCACAAAAAATTCTAAATGCTGAGTTCAGTGCCAGAAGCATTGCAAGCATTCTTGAATTTTTCTACACTTCTCAGAAGTACCTCTTTGAAGTTAAACTTGAGCTTCAACATACAAACTATTCATTAAGATATGACTTTCATGCTGCCTGTCTCCAGTATCTTGTTCTCATAGTTTCCTGTACAAAGACATTGTTTTACTGCTCTTTTATTAAAATGCATTGATCACTCATTGCTACTCATTTTTTTGCTTTCTTTAGGCTCGTCCCAAGGGAGAAGGCCTGACCCCATACCAGGGCAAGAAACGCTGCTTCGGTGAATATAAGTGCCCCAAATGCAAGAGAAAATGGATGAGCGGAAACTCCTGGGCTAACATGGGTCAAGAGTGCATCAAGTGCCACATTAACGTTTATCCTCACAAACAGGTAGGAGAACCAACATGGTGGCATACAGTCTTGGAACTTGGAATTTTCTTGAATTTGTGAAGCTTGGCTGTGACCTAAACAGGACTTGGCATGGACTACAGCATGCCACAGAATAAAATTAAAATAATAATAAAAAAGAAAACACAACCTTTCACAAATGAGCTGCTGTTCTCAGAGTCCTGGGGAAGTGAACTACTTAAAATTTCACAAAATTTGAATACCCTTTCAGTAAAAATACCTCCAAAACAAAGCCTTTACTTATCTTTATTATAAAAACCGACTTTGGGACCATATAATCTGAGATGGAGCCATTAGATAATAGAGAAAACAAGTTCAGCAGTAGCAATGGGCGTCTTGATACTTCTGACTCTCTTCATATTTACACCAATTAACTGCTTTATTGCACAAGTGTCAGTGAAGTTATTTCCAAAGTATAATTTTTTTGTTCATCCATTTAAATAAGACTGGACTTGGGTAAGGAGATACATATTTGTACATACGTAGTACTAGCAATAAAATAGAAGGAATATTAAGAGGACCCCTACTTACTAAATAACTTAAACAGTAAAGCAAGACAGCCTGTGTAAAGAGGCGTTTCTTTTTTTCCATAGTACTTGGTGGTGCCCAGGCTAGGAACTTCAAGAGAAAGTCTCTCAATAAGCTGACACAGTGAGGTGTAAATAGTAGCTCTAATAAGAAATCCATATCTGCAATGCTGCTAGCCACAGCCTTCATTCCTGCCCCCTGTGGAGTGCAGTTGCATCTCCTGCACTTCCAGCCCCTGTATTTGCAATTTACAATGGGAAGACTGAGTTAGTTCTTGTTTGTATCCTGTCAAAAGTGGTTGCAAACCATCATCTAGTACAACGGTAGTTAATGAGAGACAGATCAATTGCTCAGAACAACTAAGCTCATACTCCTCATTTTGCTGACAAACCAGGCTACAGACTGATTTTGTTGAAGTTGGATTTTCATGCAGAAAGTAATTTTTAGCAGCTCCACCAAATAAATAAATAAATAAATAAATTAGCCAATATATACTAGAAAGTATATAGAGCTCCTCCCCTACGAGGAAAGGCTGAGCAAACCGGGTCTTTGAGAAAAGAAGACTGAGAGGTGATCTTATTAATGTTTATAAATGTTTATAAGTGTGAGAGTCAAACAGACATGGCCAACTTCTTTCCAACGGTCTGTGGGGACAGGACAAGGGGAAATGACCATAAACTGGAGCATAGGAAGGTCTGCACCCACATGTGAAGGAACTTCTTCAGAGTAAGCACTGGAACAAGGCTGCTCAGGAGGGTTGTGGATTCTACTTCTCTGGAGATATTCAAGACCTTCCTGGACGCCTCCCTTCGCAACCTGCACTAGGAGGCCTGCTTTGCAGGGGAGTTGGACTAGATGATCTTTGGAGGTCCCTTCCAATCCCTACAATTCTGTAATTCTGTGAAAGCTTGCTTAGCGTAACCAGAAAGATACAATTGCAGGCTCGCTTCTAGGGAATGATTTTACAACTTCAACTGCTATTGGAGCAACACCTAGGATCTAATGCTGCCAATTTCAGCACAGTCAAAAGGGAGACATCTGTGAGTGCATCTGTCTTAAGCCACACAGCACTTTTCTTCAAGATGGCTTATACTGAGCAAATGAAAGAAGCATTACAGAAAAATTTAAGTGTGATTTTGCAATATTGCTGTAAATTGTTATGGATGAATAAGTAGGAATTATTTTAAGAGTTTGGGTGGTGTAATTTGCTTCAGATGCAGTTTATCCTACCTGAATCTCAGCAATAAATAGAGCTCTGCACGGGTCAGGTTGTCTGCTGCCCACTCATAACCCGTGCTCAAATCACAGATGGATTATTTGGGACTATTTGCAATAGGTGAAAAGGAACACTTCATACCATTTCATGTGATTTTGGGGAGAGGAAGCATGTTAATAAAAAAGAATCCTAAGTAATATTGTGATTTTATTTTGATGAAAAGATAGAAGTACTGAAATTCATTGCAACAAGCAGCAATGGAGATAGAAACAAGCTTATTAGCATTATACCAACCAGGAAAACGTAATCAACTCTATTTCTTCCTTTTATACACATGTATATTCATCTAATTCTAAGGGCAAGTTTTGGCTAAGGTTATTCTGCGTTCCCATATTCAGCTAAAATATCGATTTATACTACGTAGTACCTTGAAGAAATGTAAATTAGAGTTTTTGAAATCTGACATGTTTATGGCAGAGGGCTTGCTTTAGACTTGATCCACTTAATTCACTCGAGATGATAGTTTTTTGTGGGGTTATTTGTTCATTTAAATAACACTGAACTACTTCTACTGCAGAATGAACTAATGGCCAAGTCAGTGAATGTCACTGTTTCTGCTGGACAGTTCAGATGATGTAACCTAACCCTAATCCCCCTCCATCTCTAGGTTAGCACCACTCTGATTCCAAATCTGAAAACAAGAGGTTATCTTTAGAAACCTAAATTAACTGATGAGACACTAGTTCAAAGCTTCAGAAGTCTCTGATTCCTTGTTCCTGCTTAGACAGCTTGCTTAGACAACTGCACCAAAATCCAGGCTGAGCATTTATTACACATAAAGAAGGAGAGTCTTGATGGTGAAAGGAATTACAAGAACACTGATTTACAACACAAAGTTATAAATATGTACTTTGTTTGTTCTTCTAAATGACCTCCATTATTTTTGTCAGTGTTCAAAGAGTCACAAGAACTTGCTCTGGAAGTATCCCATCCACAAAATACATTATATACTGGGGAATAAAAATGTTGTGTAGTAAAGGAGGAGAGCTGCCCCTCTTGGCAGGGCTAGAGGAGTCTGTGAACTGCATAGCACAGACATCAAAGACTGTGTGGAAGGGCTGGAGTACACAGTGCTTCTTCCTTAGAATCATGTATATGAACAATCACAGCATGTGCAATGCAGGTTTACACAGCTGAACTCCATCACTGTGTTTCCACATCATCCCCTTAGACCATAATCTGGGATGTGAAAAGGCTTTACTCTTCTTACCAATCCATGTATCCATGTCTCAGTAGTAGTTGGTGCTAGGTGAGACCTTCAAGTCTGGACTATGCATTTCAGCTAAGCTTCCAGACGCAAAGAACCTGCAGCCAGTCAATACTGCTTTTTCCCCCAAAATGCAAACTTACAACCTCAAGTTGAAAGATTTCTCATTCTGTTGTTTCTGATCTTGCCTTACCTCTGTCTGATTCTATATCTCAGTTTCACTATTGCTGTTCTTTCTATTCTTTTTCATTCTTCCAGTGCCTTGTATTTCTAATTAAACATACCAGTTATAGCCAGACAGTAAAGAAAACACCAGTTCATGCACGGAGCTAGCAGCAAAGGATCCAGCCCTAAGCATCCAGCCCCACACCAGACTTTAAACATATCTTAATACATGTCTACGGGTTGCTGTTCTGCAGCTTTTTAGAAATGCGCTGTACTCAGTCAGCAATACTTTTATGGTAATGCCATGTATTTTATAAAAGCATAGTGATTGATTGTTCTAATTAAAAAGTCCAGTGTTTTGAGTTTGAAGGTTAAAACATTGACACATACTGTGGATGTAAGATTTAGTTGTATTATAATAAACTATTAGAACTACCTACACTCCTTTATCATTTTCTGTATACATTTCTTGCTTTTCCTTCATTTTCATTATTCTGTTGACATATACCAAAGGAGAGTTCTCTTTCATGAACGGAGTTCCTATGCATTTCTAAGCAAACATTTTTTTCCCCTCTCAGTGCATCAGTGGAAGTTCTTAGTTAATTCTGTGCTCCTAATGACTTCATTATAAGGGTTTAGACAGTACTTCCACTCGTCTGGATCTTCCAATGAACATCTTTTTCAGCCCAATATAATAAAGACACTGTCTCTCTCTAGAAGCTGTTTTTACACTCAGTACCTGTACAGATAAAACTCCATTCAAGAAATAAATTGATACTGCTGTTTTGTAATGTTTTTTCTTTCTTTGCAGTTATCATGCTACATGATATTAGTATATATATATATTTAATTTAAATTAACAAAACCCAGATGAACTGGCCAGTCAGAAATTCAACCTCAATTCTACTTCAAACAGTATTACTTCTAGCAGATTAAATTATTTCTTGTCCAAAACAATTTGGTCAATACAAGCCCTCTGCAATATATTTTAACTCAGCATCCTTTTCTTACTCCTTACCCTACCATTTGGTAAACAATTAGGTCACAATACTATCTTTACATTATTAGAAGAGGGTCATTTTGTTGACAGATGCTAATCATTGTGATTTCCTCAACATTAACTAACCTTATGCTGAGTTACAAGAGCCTTCAGAATTACAAAAATTACCTAACTGCAAACAGTCCAGACCATTTCTAAAAATACAGTTATCACATTTCCCTGGTGAGGGCATATTACAGCATCTCCATTTCCATACGTGTATACTGCATGAAAGATTTGTCACAATGATTCTGTCATAAGAACTTGTATCAGGTCAGATCAACATCCTCCATTTCACACACCATCCTAGGCAGTAGAGAGTGCCCACAGGAAGGTATGGATTTAGGATAAGACACAGTCTTATCTTATTATATGTCTTATCTTATTATAAGACATATCTTCAAGGATACTTCCTCATCCTCCAGTATTCCTCCAGTTCCTCTAAGTTCACCTGCTCTTGGTTCCTGGAGGCTTTTTCCTGGAGTGAAAAGATTCTGTGCCAATTCCCCACAAGAAAAGTCTCTTCAGCTCTGTTCTTTTATTCCACATACCCTATCTGTGAGAATGAGCTTTTAATCTCCCTGCAGCAGGAAAAGTCTTCTCAGCAATTTTACAGTTGTGTATATACTTCAGAGTGCTCTACAAACACGGTTCTAAATCTTTGTGTTTGAGAGGGATGGCACAGCATGCATGACAAGTAGTAACACAAGTGTCTGCTGCCTTGATACCAACTAATTCAGAGTGGAAAAATCAGGTGTCTTTCACACCTGAGCTGTAAAACTGCTACAGCTGTTCCAAAAAAACTGCATGCATTTTTGTCTTCATGACTAAGTTCCTGGTGGAAATACTTACAGGAATTCCCAAGACCTTGAGGCCTGTTGAGTTCAAGCGTTGCTGAGAAACAGGAGAGCAAAGAACTGCCCAGAACAAGTTACTGGATTGCTCTTTCAAAAGAGGTTTCCTGCCTAGTCACATTATCTACCCTAAACAAAACAAAACAATAACAAAAAAAAAAAAAAAAAAAGCCTCAGATGGAACTTAATTCTACCTCTTATTATTTCCTGAAATTTGGATTCCATATAGTTGTCCGTACTCTTCCTTATACTGCTCCAGTGTGGAGCCAGTCATTTTAGCCTTTCACCAGTGTTCTTGGCATTGTAACAGCCCAGACGCCAAGCTCTGAATTTTCATTTTCTTCCCCTGACTGCTCTAGCAGCAGCATCTGTGCCTGCTTCCTGGCTGGCCTCTTATCAAGGCTTCTCCTCTGACTTCGTGGCTGACTCCAGGGCTGTTTGTGATGACAGCTGTTGCACTGGTGTAGAACCAGCCATCTGGTGACTGACTTGTCCTCTTGGACATGACTTACTTCCAGCTGTCAGGAATTTATCGCTAGACTGAAAATAATTTGGTATGTAAATACATTCTTCATGTTATCCAAGCTATTACTTCCACAGGCAGTGCAGTGATTCCATCATAATTCCCCTGTCCAGGTGCAGTTTCTCTTCCCTCAGCTTGGGGAGGATTGGCTCTGATCACTCTAAAGCCCAACACACTAGTGAGCAGATTGAGGCCTGCAAGTATTCTCTCTCCTATTTGGATTTAATTCCTCCCCAGCAGCTGGAGGGGAATCATTGCATTTCCACCTCTGTGTGCCTTAGCAGTTGGAAAACAGGTCATCCCAGACTGCTGCTTCTCTGAACCCGAGAGAGATTTCTGCTCTTCATTTCAGGTGGCTCTCTTTCATTCCTAGCTGGCCTGTTCCAGAGGCATGCCGCTAACAGAGGCTGCCTGCTCTCACATCTTCATGCCATGGATCTGCAGCCTTCTCATTGCAGTCTTTTTGTTTCACAGCCACAACTGAAGTCCTTATTCATGCCATACAGGCAGGAGAGCAAAGCTCTGCCACTCAAGAACACATTACATTTAATCCTTTCATATCCATAATCCATAATCTTTTATTGTACTAACAGTGTACAAATTCTTGAGAGTGTCTGTGCCTTGAGAGAAGCATAGAAGCTAATGCACCTGAAGATTGTTGCCCTTTATCAGTATCCTGCCACCTCTAGCTGTAGAATCAATTTTTACGCACAGATCTAATGTTATCTATTCATCTCATTTGCTCCATTAAGGCCTGATGTAATGAGTCCAGAAATATACTTATACTTGTTTTCTTGCATTTAAATTTTGATATGGTTTATCTACCAGAGGTAGAATCAAATTGTTCCACTCTAAAGGGGAAAAAAAAAAATAAATTCAAACTTCTAAATACAAATATAAGCACCCATTTTGCTTCCACTAAGAATAATTTCTCTAAAGGGTGTCCTTGTGACATTTCCACTAACATCTAAGACATTACATATATATGAGTCACTTTGAGTATGTTTTGTTCTTTATTTTGAAAAAAGGATTTATGGAATACAGAGTTTAATCAGTACATGTAGACTGGGGAAGCAATACTTCACAGTCTTAAGTTAGTTTGCAGGACAGGAATTGCTAATTTAAATTTAGTTCAGTTTTATTCACCTTGGGCAATGGCTTTAGTCACTGCTGTCAAATGCCTTCCTGGTGGAGCTGCATAAGGTCATTTCCAGCCATCAACTACCAAAGAATGCTAAAGAAAAAGATGCAAAAACTCAAGACGTTGAGAAATGCCCTTCCCCATAGTATTTACAGAAAGTAGACCATCAAATCCTGTTTACTTGCATTACAAAAAAAAAAAAAGAAAACCAAAACATTAAGCTCTCCCTTTTACAGAAGAAAGAATACCTTTCCCAGAGAAATACAGCAGGACTTTCTGCTCTTTTACAGGCTGCATTTCTCCTCTTTCTAAGGAAAGGCACTGTTCCTTCAGCCAAGCAGCCAGTCCTCTTTCCCAGGCCTGCTCTGAGTGTACTGAGCCTTCCTGCTGTTGGGCTCCTGGCAGCACAGGGCTGGAGGATTAGAGAGCCTCCTCAGCTGAGTGAATCTTCTGCAGCATTCAGACAACTCCCCAAATTACCCATAGTGTGCAGCCGCACAACTGTTCAGCACTCTCCACCTTCTGCTTTCACCCTCCAAAGCTGGTGAGGGTGCTCCTGAGTCAGCCTCAGCTGCCTGTACAAACGAAATCTCACTTCATCACCTGCAAACCTTTAGCTATCTAATATCCTTTTTAGCATAGCATTAAAGTTGCAAGTCTGCAAGATTACTGCCTCAAAGGCCTCCACACGATTAGAACATCAGCAGTAAGAACGGGAGGAAAACAGCTGCTTCTCAGGGCTCTTGCAGGGATTTTTGGCTTGCAGGAAACCCACAGAGATAAACTGGGGCTTCATTTTAGGCACAAACTGTGCAAGCCCACCACCATTTTGAGGCTTCAGCCCTCAGCAAAAGCAGTGTTTGGGCTCAGCTCAGCTCCTTTCAGCCAGCCCTTGGAAACCCAGCTTCCTGCCTTGTAACCCGTCTCTCCCCAGCCTCTGTGTCGTAACACAGAGGTAACAATAACATCTCTGAAATCGAAGTGTTTTGTGGGCCAAAAAGCTGAGCTCAATCAACGCAGGGGGAAAGCAAACCACGGAGAGCTATTGTTTCTGAAAACAGTCCAAAAAAGTCTTGGCACTTCAAGACACTCCCAGTGTCCTTTGCACTATTTCCAGGAAAAATGATTCCCAAGGCCATGTGTATTAAAAAAATCTGGCTTATATCAATAAACATGATAACTGCTGTATTTTTTTCTCTTTAATCAGAACACAGCTAACATGTAGAAGCAATCAGAGCTGAGTCAAATAGACTGTTTTAAGTGCAACATTTCAAAGCTCTAAAATTCTCCATTGTGGAGAATAAATTAAATCTTGGAGCTCCTAAACCTGGACATCATCTTTGAGGAAGATTTATGTAATGCAAACTGTTGAAGAAAATTTATGGGCAGATGTTGGTGGAATAGGCTGTGGAACAGGCATAAAGGCAGTTTTTCTGACCCAATAAGTTTATTCAACTTGTCTCTGCTGTGGCAGAAGCCCAGAATGCACCAGCATTTGAGTTGCAGTCTCAATCGAGGTTGCCGATAGATCCAAAATCTTCCTTCCTCATACACAACCAATACAGGTTCAAGCACCCCCTCTCCAAGAAAGGGAAAACAGCCTGAAATTAAATTATAAACAAATTTAAGCTCAGAAGGTCACATAGCCTCTAACCCGGGACAGAGAAAAATTTTGGCAGCGTGCTGTGGGTAGGAATCCTGAACTGGTGACAAGACATTGGCAATCACTATTGAGTTGCTCCCATACATTCTTTCTACTAGCTGTGCAACATAATGAACAAGTGTTGTACTTATAATCCAATACAACTGATTATAGCAAGAAGTTGCAGACTATTTTTTTAGTAAAAGAGTACATTTTGCCTGACTGTAACCACTGAACACTGGGAAAGTCTTCCATTCTATAGGGTGTGAGCAGCTCTTACAGAGTAACACTAAGAGAAAAAAAAAATAGGTTTCAGAAAGCTCAATACTTCTTATTCACTCACACTCAGATGGGTGGCTTTGACATGCAGAATTTAGAAATAAATAACCAGGAAACTTAGAAGACCAGGTGTACCAGGTTTTAAAGATGATGACAGGCCTGTAGTATTTAGGGAAGGTACAAAAGATAAATGGCCATAATTTTTTTTTTTCATCCTTTCTTTGTTACAAGAAAGATAAGCAGTAGTCTGCTATCCCTGTAGAACAGTGAGATGCTTATGGCTTATTTTGAGATTTCACATCACATCATTCACATCACTGTCTCTACCACAGTTCCACAGAACGTCCGCAGTCTTCTTCTTAGTAAGGCATTGAGTATTTAAATCATTTTTCAGGTACATTCCAAGAAAGCTGAGAAATTATGTTACAGCATTTTGTTAGTATAAAACAAACTGTGCACATCAGTGTTATGTTCTACCTCACAGCTCTATCACTTCTTCTGATCAGATTTTCCAAACAGCAATATCCCTACTAAAATACTTAATATTTTCCAAGTGACTGCAAAATTTCTTACGTGTCATAGAAAATTAAAGCACATGGATTATTAAACTCAAAGCAGCTTTGTTCCCTTTTTTAGTTAAATATACTGCCAGCCCTGTGATTCCACAAGTGTTCTTTAGCAATATATCCAAATTATCAGTCAGGTTCACAGCAGAGATTGTTTTTCTGGTTCTTTGTTGTTGTTTTTGTTTTTGTTTTTACTAATAGCTTTGCAGCTCTTCTACTTAAAAAACAAACAAACAAACAAACATCAGCCTCATAAATATGGGATTGAGACCTCAGTAACTTATGTGATATCTGTGCATAGGTAAAACAGTTTTCCTGTAGCAGCAGCTAATCGCAGTGTTGTTAACCCTTCTGGCATTCTGGGCAGTGGGATTCCCATGCTTGAAGTGCTAATGCTTTTGGGATGTCTCAGTTACTAGAGCCAAGGGAATAAATTGCTGTGTAATCACATAAACATACTCCCCATTCGGGCTTTCATTAGTTTACCTACAGCAAGGTAAACAGAACCTTTATGAAGAACAACATTCAAGATTGCGAGGCAACTTTATGCCACTATAAAGCAAAGAGTTGAAAACATTTTGTCTGCTCAGACAGCAGGATTTTTGTAACTGTGAGGAGAAAGCTGGTTAAGCATAGAAGTATGCTCAGCACATGTAGTAGAGATTAACAGCAGTGACAAAGCCTTGAATCAACTCTTGTTCCCACCCTTCTCTGCAGAGACCCCTGGAAAAGCCGGATGGCCTGGACGTTTCAGACCAGAGCAAAGAACATCCCCAGCACCTGTGTGAGAAGTGCAAAGTTTTGGGCTACTACTGCCGCCGTGTGCAATAAACCTTCCAAGTGGCCTCTTCCCGTCCCCCTCATCCTTAAGGATCCTCTGACAGCACACGATCAAGAGCAACACAACACATCAAGATAAAAGCTAAAATAATTGCCAATATTGCCTATCTATAACCTAACAGTATGCCTTACCTTTAACGGAATGTAACATTTCTCCTGTGTATGCACACACATGCAACAGGTATTTACAGGACTATGATGAATTTGTATACATACATATATATGTAAGCTTACATATATATATGTACACACGTATAAGCATTACTGATAGTGTTCACAACAGAACCACAGTTGCAGGTTCTGCTGATTGTTTACACAGACCCTATATCATGGTCAGGTGAAATGAAGTACTATTCTTTAGGCAAGATATAATATTCACAAGGACTATATGTGATAAATGGGTTTTGCAGAGGTGAAATAACTGTGGGGCCACTAATTAAAAGCACTCACCCACGACAGGAATATTATTCCTATTATATGACAAGACAAAAGGAGATTAAACAAGCCACAGCATAAAAGAAGGAAAATAATTGTTTTCCCAGTTTTAGAAAGTCTGAGAGTTTTGTGTTGCTGCTTTCTTGGACTTTTCTATTTGTTAGTGTCACTCAGGCAGGGCTTAGGCAAAATCATTTTTTGCAATTTTGAGGCAAAAAAAAGTGAATAATTGTTTGAGGGTGTGGTTGTACAGAAAGGGAATGCCATAATGGGACCCATAGCATCGGGAAGGATTCCAAGAGGTTTTTGGAGGAGATAAAATTGGCTTGGTTGTGTGACTAACAGATCTTTCTCTTGTCATATAATTCTGCTACAAGAGGTTTTGCATGTGTATGCGCTATTCATTAGGCTGCAAGCACACTAAATTTACTGTGAATAAAGGGGGATAAGAATGCTTAAAATTGTCCTCCAAATCCATAATTGAACGATTAGCCAAACTTACTATTTATAATAGTTTTAAAGCCACTTTCTGGAAATATTTTTTATGTCCTGTTTTCTACTGTACAAATTTGTTACAATGTAAAACTTTTTAGCCATAAGGTGTTATGAGGTATGAAGAACACTCTTTATAATATTCCCACTTTCCTGTCTTCCTGAAACACCTATTTACCTTAGGAGAAATGTAGGAGTTATATTTGGTTGTCCCATTTCAGGTGGAACTTTGGGCAGGGTGATCCTGTTGCAAAGTAGTATCTCATCAGGGATGAGCTGAAAGTACCTCGAGACAGTATCCTATTTATATGTCTGTATAAGAATACACGGGCATAAGGACAAAACAAGCAATTCACTGAGAAAACTTACAGGGATAATGGTTTGTGTGGTTTTAGGTTTGGGTTTGTTTTTTTTTTTTTTTAAAAAAAACATTTCTATTTTTGTGAGGTTTCCTTTAGAGATTGATTTGTGTGAATACTTAGTGGAAATATTTAAAATCCTAAATAACTTGATGTGAATTAAATCTGTTTTGAGGATTAATTCCACAGTACTAATACAGAGAGGGTTTTGTGCCAAGTAATACCAAAACATAACCAATAAGTACAGTCAAGCTCTTGTAAAGCGAACTGAAAACTCAGTGAGCATTCCTGTAGGAAATGTGAAGGTCTTTAGAATTTGTTCTAAGGTGAAACTTCGACCATTTCTCTGCTTTGTTCTAAACAGGGCAGAATAGTTTCTGCTTATTCTGGTGGTAGGGTAATATACATATCTCACAAACTGCATTATTTATGTGTAGCCCAAGTGACACAGCCCACTGGTCAGTCTGATGAAAAAGCCTTGGGATTTGTTGATTCTGACCATGACTCCTGCATTAGCTCCCTGGCTGTGGGCAAGTCACGAGATCCTTCTTGGACTTCAGTTCCCCCAGCTGCAAAAGGGGGGTAATCGTACTTCAGTGCACCTACCTCACAGCAGTGTTGTGAGGCATACTCAGTATCTATTAGCGTTTTGACATCACTGGATGAAAAATGCTATGTAATTCTAAAATCTTAAAGAAAATTAATCACTTTGAAACTAGTTTTGCCAAGGTGGTAATTCTATAAACTAGAGTAGCTGAAGAATAATATTATTGAATGTTAACACTAATAAGAGATCTCAGTTACGTCAGTCAAGATATACAGTTTCAGCTTTTTCAAATAGAAATGCATTCTTTTGCACACATTCAGAAAAAAATACCTTAGAGAAAAACAAAGATACTAAATTGCCTATAAGAGAATAAAATACACAGGTGATTTTGAGGGTGGATTTTAAAGCTTGTTAATCTTGATGATTAGTTTCCAGCATGCATGCTTTTACTGAAAGAATAACACATTAAATCCAATTTTTTTTTTTTTTTTTCCTTTTTGAGCGCTTAACAGAACATGAACAGAAATATCCTTGGTGTTTCATATCCAACTAAAGGACAAGTAGATGAACACCATCAGGTGAAAAATAAGAGAATTATTTTTCTCCCTAGTGTTGCTACCAAGCATTTTGTTTTTAAATAATTCCTGCTTTTTGATAACCACTAAATCAGTAGAATAGCACATCCCATGGTATAGCTACATCAACATAGAGCATACCAGCAGATACTGAACAAAGGCCAACTGCCAATGCCATTATATGCAATCATTGCTATTCTCATGACAGTGTTCTCTTAAAAACTGTTTATCCAGATTCAGTGTTTCATGGTGGTGCTTTTAGGTTTTATTTTAAAATAAACTTCCTAAAAATATACGTGATCAACTTCAACATACTTAACAACTCTCCATGTAGAGTAACAGTTCCTAAAAGTAGAGTTAAAAGAGTTCCATATTTATGTCACATTTTTCCAGGTAGAAGACAAAGTATGTAAGAAATATTAAGCATATCTAAAATATCTAGGAGGAAAATCTATTTTTCCCTGCACTTATGCTGGGGAAGAACAGATTAAAAAAATGTGGGGAGAAGCTAGAAGCCAGACACTGCCCTACTTTGTCCTGCCGAACTTGGACTGCAGCCCCGTGGGGCTGGAAGCAGCGTGCTGATCTCACTGTCTCTGCTGGAGTTGAGAGGCAAGGGGTGGGACAGGAGAGCACTGGGAACCCAGACAGGTGTCCTTGTCCTTGTGTCTGCGGGGCTCAACTCAAACTTCCCCTAGAATGCAGGGCAACCCTGTTTTTCTTGTCCTGCTCAGGGCCTCTCTCTAGCAAGCTGGTGGCTGAGGAAGCATGAATGAGGTTCCTCCATCCCTTCTGCCAATGTTTGCTCATAGGAGCATCTGCTCCATGCTTTTCTGTATGCTTGGTGTCTTGCTGGAAGAACACGCAGCTCTAAGAACCAGACAATATCTTGTGGTCATTGGCACAGAAAGAAAACTTCTTAATATCAATTTCACATCAAAAAAATAGAAAACAAATTGCCTATAATTTTATCTTTTTTTTAATTAAAAAAAAAAAAAAAAAGGTAATTTACCCATAGGCTAAACTCCTTCCAAACTGAAAAAATACAACCCTAGAAGTCATACTTTGAGTGGGAAGAGGATGAGTTTATTTACCACTTGTATTTTTAGGAATACTTTTTGATGTTCTCTTTAAATAGCTCTACATTTAGTCCATTAGCTAGTATTCCTCAAAGGGATTTTTAAGCAGCTATCAGAAACAAAGCTGTTCCAGTAAAGAAATTTAAATCAGTGCAGGTCTCCCTAAATAGAGTATTCTCAGGGACGTACCTGAAATAAATTTCTCTCTCTGTCTTTATCTGTCAAGCCCAGTTTTAAACCTCATCAAATGCTTGCTATTATCTGCCTACCTACAGATCCATAGGTCCATCCAGCATGCAGCAGTTTTTTTGGGGATGATTTTCTTACATTTTCCTCCTCCTTCAGACTTTTTTTGGTTCATTTGTTTCTTGAAAAATATATCTCATATTATTTCTTTAGTTGGTCTGAACATTTCACATGAAGTTTTTCTTTGGCATTGGCCCTGCACTGGAGAAAATTATTGGGAATCCAAAATAAGTAGTACAGGCTTTAGCTGTTTTAACTTGATGCAGCTCCTCTGAAGTTGTTACAAATATTTCCTTTCATGACAATGGAAGAAATCCCTGTAGCTTAAAGGATGGCCCCCTTTTAGCCAGTTTCTATTGCTGCTATGGCTGGCATAAAATGATGCCACACAAGAAAAAATTGAGGCCTTCCTGTTGCCTCTTAATTTCAAATAAATACACAAGAGTATATATTATTTCTGAAAATAAGTGTATTTTAAATTCCCCATTATATGGGACACAATTTGTAAACTAAAAATGTGAATTTACAGCTGTCTGAAAGAAGCCTTTTGTTAAGAAGTGCTCTCTATATTTTACCTTTTGTATAACGTGACATTTAGATTAAACATGGGTTGCATACCTGACAAGATCTAGCCATTATTTCCCAAATAAAACTACTTTTAAAATAGTAAGAAGCTTTTGGAAATGTCAGCATTCACAGGTTAGTTCTCTATGTCCTGCAGTCAAATGGAATACCATTTTTTTCTCTAGTGTGGATGCTAAGAGTTATCCACTGAATAGATTGCAATGATTTCAAAAACACATGTTTATGATTTAAGTGAACTGACGTACATTTTCCATTTGCCTTTGCCAACGTTTCAAAATGTGATGGAACTATCCCCACACAAAATCATCCCCTAAGATATCACTCTGCTCCAGATCAGGCTTCATCACATCTCCTTCCTATCCGCAAAACCACTGCTGTCCATTAATGTTGCTATTTTGCTGAAGTGCTCAGAGGGCTGGTCAAGATCTTAGACATAGGGATGATGGTTTGTGTTTCTAGGATGAATTTCAAAGGGACAATCGTGTGCAGTTACTAGCTATAGATGATTGATATAAATGTTTACCCTGTATGAAGTATTTTACAGTTTTACTTGCAGATGTGTATTTATCTTGAGTTATACTTGACATAGAGTTTCTTTCAATTTTTTTTTTAATACTATGTGTGTATTTTGGAAACCTTTCTAGATGTTAAAATTTTTGAATGGTTACAAATATTTCTTGTAATACTGAATCGTTATCTTATCTGGAAACTCTTTGCAGTAACTTTTTTGTATATATTTGAGGGCCTTTTTAGTAAAAGTATTGTTTGTTCTTTGGGAAAAAGTTTTTACAACTTGGAAGCTTTCAGAAGGGCCTTCCTCTCAACTAGGATACTAACAGAGGTAAAAGTCTTCTTAAGTATTTTGCAGAACTAGGGATGTATCCTCAAGAAAATATTTATGGAAGTAATTTACTTTTTTTTTTTTTTTTTTTTTTTTACAATGCTTTTGTCTGTATAAAGTATGCAACAGAACTACATTAAGAAGGAAATATTGTCTACATAAAATATTATATGAAAGTTGGTACATAATTCTGACAAAAAAAACTTGCAATTCTTTAAGCCATATTGTTTTTGTTATCCTTGGATGAAAATATCAGTATTAAGTAACCAATATATTATTCAAGTGCTTTGACTTATATGAAAATGCTTATACATTTTATTTATGTGTATTTGGGGAAGGATTGCTAGAAAAAGCTATCACTAGATGTATAGCAAGTGAGAGCAAATAACAGTATAGTGTCACTTTATGACCTTGTGAAAGACAGAAGATGCTGAAAGCACCACAGAGACTCAGCTTTCAGAGACTCTGAAGCACAAGCGTCGAGTTTCAAATGGTAGTTCTTGTCCTTTTTCATGGTGAGAGGGGAAAAGAGTTGATTGGGACGCTGTCTGACAACTCAACTTTCACAAATCTTTGCAGACTGTGAGCTCAGCTATGCAGTACTGGCTACAGCAATAATATTAATCAAAGGATGGAAGAGAAATGCATTGAAGTAGATGATTGTAAGGATTTATGTTTATTTTAATTAGAACTCATAGCAATATAGAATATGCATGTGCACGTATTTGAAGCATTTTTACACTTTACATTTCATGTAGTTTGATTATATTATGAAGGATTGGGTTTTTAGTTTGATATTTTACCATGCTAAAATGGGAGGTCTGCCCAAACCTGTACTGGATTCTTGTTTCCTTTAAAAGATTGTTTAGTACAGCACTCACTGCATTGTGTACTAGTGCTAAAACTAACACTGTATCTTATGAATTTCTTCAGCTTTAAAAAAAATTAACCTAATTACTATTACATTTGTTTAGCTGTGCCCACTGACCTTGTCAGATTCAGTTGGCTATTTGTACAATTTCATTTTCTGTAACTGTTAAGAAACTTGTACAGCTAAAACAAAAACAGAACCTATGGACAACAGCCTCGGAGGTACCAGTTCTGCTTCAGCAATCAAGATGACAGCTAGCTCACTGAGCGACTACATTGCTAAAGAGACTGTAAAACCTCTGTTGTGGATTGTCC